TGAGTGGGAGCACTTTATAGGTCTGCTGTATGGGACCACTTTGCATTTAGAGTCGCCTACCATGACGGCGGAAAGAAAGTTGTGGATAAAAGTGCAACAGTGTGCAAGCATTGTGCAACACGTTTTGTTTATGCTAACAGCAACATGACCAACATGTCATGCTAACCCCGAAATACCACATACTCCATCAGCGCTCCGCCCCGCTGCGCTCCAGACCGCCTGCACAAAGCAAAGCATACATCCTCCACTGTGACTCCCGTCCGAGATGATTAAATCAAAGCAGCAAAACATGCGGAAATGATCCATGGTTTCCGCGAATCATTAAAAATAATTACAATTCATTAATTTTTTTGTATTTTTTCATTAATTTCATAAAAAAAAAATGTCATTAATTTTTTTATAATTTTTCATTATTTTTTTTTTTTTTTTCGGTGTAACAATAAACATATACCGAACCGAACCGAAAACCGTGACCACGAAACCGTGAACCGAACTTAACCGTAGATTTTGTGAACTGTTCCACCCCTACTCTACATGAATTTTGTGAGACAACAATAAGGATGAGACTTACTATGAAATACATTCATCAAAATTAATGTAGTTGGAGCATTTTTTTTTCATCCATGAAGGCTAAATCAGGACTAAGAAAGGTGGAAAGTGAGCCGAACGTTCCTGTACTGCCAACCAGTAAAAGATGTAGGAGTGGAAGACTTGCTTTAATGCCATATTTTTTTATGCCACTAGCTTCAGTGATCAGCTATGGATCTGAGTGAGCCATGAGCGTAATCTGCAGCGTTTAAATCTCACAGACATTCGCTCAATAAATACGACTCTGGAGAAACCTGTCTCAGCAGCTCATTGCTCTTTCATTCTCTGCACTCACAACTAAATAAAATATTATGTGGCTGAACAACAGCAGCCGAAGGTGAAAAATGCTTTAATTTTCAGGATTTTATTTCTTCCACCTTTCTATATTATAGCCAGAATATACATTTAATTTTCTTACTGTTTATTTGTGGATAAAGACCCAGATGAGACCTTACCCAAATATTTCTCCGCAACTATCTGTATCCGATTAGGATGTAAATGTTTCCTTGTATTGTCCTACAAATGTCTTTTTATTTCCTTGAATATCCCAAGATTTTTACTTACATTTTTTTAAATTACCTTCAGGATTATAATTGTATTTTAAGAGTTTTAAGGACGTTCTGTGTAATCTATCTGATCCGGCCGGTATGAGGTGATAAAAAAAAATATTTTATGATGGAAACTGTTAAATTGTAAGTTTATTTTTTGTTAATCAAGAGATAAAACAGCTGCTAATCTTTTCCATGTCTGAATATAGCAAAAAAAAAGCTATCCCTTTTTAACTGCATTATTGTCATTAAAGGTTTTCCATCTTCTAAGGAGTATGCACAAATAGTGGCTATGCATTAATTGTTAAATATTTTTTAAAAATTATAAAAATTATACTGAAGGTAAAGAATGTCTACACATTTTCTATTTTCAATTAATTATCAAATATTTGTCAGCCCTGGATATTCTTATATATACTTTGTTTTGTTTTTTTTAATCAAAACGGAAAAGAAAATTCCTCAAAATCTAAAATACAAAGTGAAATTTAGCCATTATACATCTTATATATTGGCATTTATATGGAAAAGTCTTTGAAAAAAAACACTCCATTCAGGTTTGATTTAAAAAAAAACTATAAAGTATGGTAGAAGATGTGTGTTGCTGTGGGCATTCAAAAATCCTAGGAAGATTGATTAATGTGTGGAGCCATAAACCCTTTGAGAAATCAAGGTGTTTTTGTTCTACTCCTATCTGGTTGCCTCTTCCTCCATTCAAATGTGAGTGTTGGGTGTTTCATCAGGATAAAGATGTAAATATATGAGCTCAACAATGAAGTGACGGTAAGAAAATGGTTCATCCAACAAAAATCAACCTTTGTCCGTGGCATCGCTGTCCCTGGACCTAAAAACCCTTAAGAAGACATGCAGGTTGAGCTTAAGAGCAGAGAAGATAAGAAAGGACCGAAGAACATTTAGAAAAGCTCAAGATCCCTCAGAAAAAAAGGTTCGGGGGGGAGACCATAGTGCTGCAGTGATGAATGAAAGTATTTTACCTGTGAAGCCAACAAAATAAGTAGAGAAATCAGAAGATAAAACTGTCCTAAAGGTCATCATAACTCTTTTTTTTTAACACCTAAGGACTGGTTTACCTTCACACTGTCATTCATGGTCAAACTCACCGTGCAAAAGCAGAATCATGGCCTCTGGAGAGAAACCAGCAAACCTTTCAGGTGTTTTTAGCCCAAACATGGGATCCAACACACCTTTGACACTCCAATACACAGCACAGCATCCACACACACACACACTAACACACCTGTGCGCTTGCTGATGACCTCCACCAGAGTGGATGGGAAGTACCCCACTCGATCGTTTCCTGTTCGGTTGTCGTGGATACAGCCTTTCCAGCGTCCGTCAGGATGTTGCTCCAAAACCTAAGAGGAAACATTTAGAGGAAGGACTGTTTGGTTTAGCCAAATTAGATAAGTTGCGGGGAATAATCTGATGGAAGACGTGAAAACTTTTTTTTTCCCCAGCACTCTGAGTGGTTTACCATCTCTGGAGCCTAATTGTTCCCTCAGACCCTGAGGAAAGACTCCCCAAGAACAGCTTGGCTTCGTTAAAACAGTAATCAGTTCCCCGAAGGCTGAATTAATTCTCATCCATATTTATGAAGGATGGTGACGAGTGAGAGCATGTTCCTGTAAAAACATGCTGGTAGTAAACAGGAGGATGCTGTAGATGCTAATGCTCCTGTATTCATTAGGAGGATTATGGAGTTTTACAACCAAGGCAGCTTTCAGGTTCATGTAGAGCAAAGACACCAGCTTTAACGTCACTATTAAAGCTCTGAGCTGGGACCTAAAATATCAGAACATCCACTGGTCAAAGATTTATGTTAAATACCTGTATGTCTTTCAAATTCACTTTGGAAAATTGCTGAGTGTTTTTGACTTAAAGACTCCACCACTGGTCGTAACAACAGAATTTAAATAAGAAATATTTATTTGCTTTGTAAATGCAATACACAAGGATTAAAACAAAACAAAAATCCTGAGCCTGAACTTTTTTAACACAGTCCAGGCATATATATAGTTTATTTACAATTTAAAAGAAGGAAAACATGAGAAGAAGTAATAAAAAACGTTTTTTTTTTTTGTTTAAAAAAATAATTCTAATTTAATTTTTAGATGATAAATCAAAATAGAGAAGTTTATCACGTTTACAAAACTCAATTAGGAAGGTACTCTTTTTTTTTTCCCAGCGTTTTTATTGTCATTACACTGTCACAAGTATAGTGCAACAAAATTCCCTCTCTGCATTTAACCCATCCCCTTGGGGAGCTGTGAGCTGCGGCGCACGGGGAGCAGTGTGGGGTTAAGGGTCTTTGCTCAGGGACCCAGTCTGTAGGAGGGGGGTTTAAACTCAGAACTTCAACCTTCCAGGCCAAGGACCCCAAACTGATGAGGAGATGGAGCGGGGACCCCCCTAATTATATATATTGTATAAAATTGAGTTATATCAAACTGGTCCTATAGTCCCTCTATTACAGATGGAATAATATAATGAAATAATTTGGGATTATTAAAGTATTTCTGATTCTGATTCCTGGTTGATGGGACAGGTGTTGTGAATGAAACAGTGCCCAGGTTTGAAAGAGCTCCTGTGTGTCGCTGAATGTGTGCATTGATGACTGAAAGACATCTTCTGCCTCCATTTATCTGTTCACTACAGTCTGCTGAATTCATGATAATGTGGATTTAAATACATTTCAATTAGTGGAAAAAAATGATGGGGGAATATAAAAAAAAAAAGTCTAATCAACCAAAACTTTTGCAACCCCCCATGCAGTACCTCTTTGAACCCTCTAGGGGTCGCGGACCCCCTGTTGAAGACCTCCGCTCTATGCCTTAACCACTAGGCTGCCACTCCCCCCTATTCAGATATTAATCGTGATTATTTACACTAACATTCTCAGAGTGTTTGTGAATCTGCCTGGTTGATCGTCCTGCTAATTTTAGGGATTTTAGTGAGTGTTACCGTGATGACGTCTCCAGCTTTGATGTTGAGGCTGGTCAGGTCATAGTTGTTGCAGTAATCCTTCAGAGCTCGAACCTGCAGGGCTGCTGATGCATCTGGGAGGGAAAAAAAAACAAGAAAATAGTGAGAATCCTCCGTACATCACGTCCTCCCATCCATCCTGGTGTTCAAAGCATCCATCCATTCATCCACACATCCATAAACCTCACCCCTCAGCAGCTGCTTTATTTCCCTGCTGGCCTGTGTTGCTGTGAACTGGTAGACGATGTCCAGCGCAGTCTGGCTGTACGTGTTTCTAACAGCTGCATTAATGCCGCTCTGCAGAAGAGAGTAAAAGATAAGTCTTTATTGTCTAAGGTAGAGTTACAGTATGTACGACCAGACATAAACTTTATTTTTAGATGCTGCACTTATTAAAAATTCTGAATTAAAAATTCTGTCATATTCTTCATTGAGGTGATTGTTTTTTTTTTTTGTTTTTGTTTTTTTTTTAAATCATATTTGTAAATTTAGACAGATCTTGTGAAGAGAAAATGATAAATTGTACCAAAAACAATGTGAATAATTATTTAACAAAAATCTTTAAAACTTGATATTTAATTTGTCAGAATGTCTAATAAAGTCTCTAGTTTAAAGAAATAGTTTTTTGTTTTTTTTTGACAATTATTTCATGGTTCAGACCTGGGTTAAGATTAGTGGTGAGTATTGGCATCATGCCTGCTGCTAGCATGTGCTTATGCTAACTAAAAAATTAGCTTCTTCTTCTTTAATTTCCAATTTAGACTTCAACCCATGGCGGTTAGGAAAAATCCACAGAAATTATGAACCTTCATATATGCTGCATGGTTTAAAATGTGGGAAGAAAGTAGTGGCTTATAGTCCGGAAAATACGGTATGTTTTGAGTTTTATAACAGGGAGCATCAGCCATTCGCTGTAATTTCTTTTTGTAGTTCTTTACTGGAAGGCTGTAGTCCCAGTTTGACCAGCAGTATTCATCTGCATCTCCTTTGCATAATCTATAGAGCTGAAGGCTGTCCAGATTCAACACAGCAGTCCAAAGCTCCTTTCCTAGTCTGGGTAGTGTTCTAACTATTGACCCCACAAAAGGTAAAAGATAGGAGCTAGGAACAGGAGGTCCACTAGGAGTTATACGGTGAGGTATTCAAAAGACGCCTGAGTCTTTTAAGTTAAAGTGAGGATGGGTGGAGCTAAATAAAATACAATGCTGGAACCTGTTAAAGGCCTTCACTTTGCAGCCTGAGCTGCAGTGGAATGGTTTGGATCTGACCTTTGACCCTGAATGTTTTAGCACACAAGAATCAAAACATTGCTTTCCTTCCTCAGTAGGGTTGTGGACTCCCTGAAAAGAAAAAAATGGACACCTCATGTGCGTGCCGCTGACCCGACTGCCTTTACCCCTCCTGGCGTGCTGATTTTTTTCTTGCTGCTCCTTTTTGTGTGAAAGGACAATGTGCAGTGTGCTTTATATTATTTGTTTTTTCCCATTCCGCCCTATATTTCTGTATCCTTTTTTTTTCGTTGAAGGAGCATCGCTATGCAAAGGTGCACCGCCCCCAAAAGCAACATCAGCATTTAAATTTATCCGTTCATCCCCCATACTGCTCTGTTGTCTCCCGCTATCTTCTCCGTGAGCAACACTTGGCTCGACCTATGGGATGAGAGTATTCTGGATCGTTACAGATATGTTGTCAGCTCATTGGTCACACCGCAGGACAGGGCCCGGGAACAAGTTTACCGTAAGTTTTGTATCTAATGTGCCCTTGTTTTTAATTTTCCATTAGCTTTTTACTGACTATTTTTTTACTCTGAAAGTAATACGGAACAAAGTGTGTTCCTTTTCCGCTAAATACGGGACAGATATGCCCATTTCTAAATACGGAACAATTCAGTTTTTCAAGGGACGGTTGGTAACCCTACTCCTCAGCAGCCATCCTGTGCTGCAGGGGCCTGTTAAATTAGATGACCTGACAAGTCAACTGGCAGCACTGGGTTTATTTTAGGGTTTATTGGTATTTAGTGGTCTGAATATAAATCCGCACACTCTATACTTTTTTTTTTTTTATATTAAAGAGGAGCATGAGCATGTTACATAATGAGCAATAAACTAAAAGATGATAAAGTGACTTAAAATTACCTCATGCTTAGAATCAGCATGACATCAACAGAAAACATCCAAATACTCCTCTGGCTCCTATTTTCCAGCTAGAACAGCTGAGCGCTGCAGACTGATATCCTATTGGGGTCTGTGGCGTCTAACACAGACAAAATGAACAAAGATGAATGCAGTCCTAAAGGGCTGCAGGGTAAAGTCTCGCAGCCTTTCGCAGCCAGCGTCCCTAAACGACAGGCTCAGTTTGTCATGCTGGAGGAGCCGCAGCCATCGGAGCATATTGCCCCTTCTGTTTTCCTTAAACCTCGGGGCCTTTGATGTCACCATCACAAGAGGACTGTTGGCGTCTCTCCTGCTCTTTAGCACATTTTTTTCTTCTAACTCTGACTCATTTGTATCACATGAAGCTGAAAGGTTTTTTAACACCCCTTTAGGGGCAAACATATACACGTTTAAATATGATTGTTCCTTATGTTCCTAACAGAGCACTTCGCTCTCAATCTGCAGGTTTACTAGTGGTTCCTAGAATAAAAGTAGAATGGGAGGCAGATCTTTTAGTTATCAGGCTCCTCTCCTGTGGAACCAACTACCAGTTTTAGTCCGTGAGGCAGACACTCTGTCTACTTTTAAAGCTAGGCTTAAAACTTTCCTTTTTGATAAAGCTTATAATTAGAGTGGCTCAGGTTATCCTGAGCTATCTCTATAGTTATGCTGCTATAGGCTTAGACTGCTGGAGGACATAGGGACCCTATTTCCTCATGTGCTATATCAATAAACTGAATTGAAATGAACTGAATTGAACTGAATACACATACAGAAGATCCTTCCTGCCTACAGCTATCAACACCTATAGCATCTCCTTGAAAAGCTGCCTATGAATTACTGCAACATTCAATTTCCATTTGAAATCAATAAAGTATTTTTGAACTGAATTAAAATTAGCACCTTAGCTTCTAGTGTGAAGACACCATATATACTTCAATTTAAATTATTTATCCTTAGTCTGTGAAGCCATGGGAACAAATGTTACAAACCCATTTGGTTGGAAACCAGCTAGATGGCCTAGGTTGTTTATCATCCAGGCCCAAGAGATCACAAGAGAGCTAAGAAGAACATTTGAAAGGCCTGCAGGCCTCTCTTGTCTAAGTTAAAGTCAGCGTTCATGAATCAGGATTGAGAAAGATTTGGGATGTACTTAGATTAATTCCGAAGTGAAAACTACTGCTGAGCAAAAACACAGAAAAGTCCACTGATTTAAGAGACATCAGTGCTTTGGACAAAGATAAGGACAAAAGAGAAACTTTTTGGAAGGTAGGCATCCTGTTACATCTACTATAACACTAATAGCATTTTACAAACAGAACAACATATAGATAGCTAAATATGGCTGCTTCATTTCTTCAGGACCTGAATGGATTCTGCTCTCTAGCGAGAGATTTGTTACTTCAAGGCAGGACTATTGGAATTATTTACTATCAGGAAGTCTTTAAACTGTTGTTAAAAGTTTGTAGATTTAAGCTGAAAAAATGTAGTTTTAGACGCAAGATGATGATGCAAACACAACCAGAACACACACTGTGTGTAAAGCAGACAGGATTTTAACTCCTATGCCAGAAAATAAAAATTCTTTAAACCCAATTTCCAGGTATTTACCACTTTAAATATTTTCCTTTTTTCCATCCTTATGTTTTACTTTTTGCAAACTGGAATCATTAAAACTCTTCCGTTACACTTTCAAATAAATCTGAGTTCGTATTTCGTGGACCGTTTTGGGTGGCAGACAGAATATTCTGCTAAATACATTGTGTTTGATCACTATTAACATGCTAATCTCAATGTGTTGGTCATTCATGAGCCAATGTGACAGGGCTGTGCTACAAAGATGTGTAGTGTAGTTCCAAATACCTCCAGCAGGAGTCTCACAACCTCAGTCTTTCCACAAAGGGCTGCTTCATGCAGGGCAGTGCCTGCTTTGGTCTGTCTGTTAATGTCAATGCCAGCCTGGATCAGCAGTCTGAGAGAAGGAGCAGAAGGAAACAAACACAGAAAAGAGAAGAGGAAGTTAGATCACAGTTTAAAGGAGAAGAGGAATGGAATTATGTCCAGAAAGTAATTTAGATATTTCACTTTGCTCAAAAGGTATATACTTTGTGGTCTATTAGTTGTTGCACCAAAGCAATATGTTACAAAAAGTATTGGTTTAAGTGGGACCTCAAATTTACAGAGGAAGACAAAGTGAGATGTCATAAAATATACAAAAAAAATTAAATTAGCACTTCATTATTTCATAGGCACAAAAATGACTTCGTTTAGCTATTGACTTAGGCTGCTATAGGGTTAGGCTGCTGGATGACATAGGGACAATTTTCTACAAAAAAAAAAACTATGAGAAATCTAAATTAAAAACCATAGTATCTCTTTAACAAACAACAAAAATAAAAATAATTATCTAAACTATACTTATGCTGCTATAGGTTTACGCTGCTGAATTACATTTTAACACAGCCTTTAAGTGGCAGAAAATCAAAGAAAAAAAAGAATAATTGTGGCACAATGTTTGATAGCTCTCACTTTGAGATAAATGTAACCATGAAACATTCCTACCACTGGATGTGATACATGAAAGTGAATATTTCGAGAACAAGCGGCTCTGTTGGATTTGGAGGTGTCATAGAAACTCATATCAACTGCTAAGTACGGTGGAGGACCTGTAATGCTGTAGGCCTGTTTTTTTTAGAAAACCTATAGGGACAAAAAAATATGTAAAATATGAAGGAATCTTAAATTGAGTTAATAATCCTGAATAAATGTACCTAAATAAAAAGTTGAGAGTTTTTAGTGTAATAGAAAATACTTTTGAGTGCAGTCGACCAATAAATGTAGTCGCCACTGTAAAGCACTCCTGCACATCTTCAGCTGGACTTCTTTTGCAGCGTAGCTGCAGGAGATAATAAAGATTAAAATATGCATCCATCCAACTAAGCTTGCTCTCTTTCCTTATTTGCATTTTGGCTTTGAGTCAAAAGAAGAAGATCAATCCGACTTTTATCGCTGTTCATTACACACAATGTGACAGCACAGTCTGGACACAGCTGGCACCAAAACAGAAACCAAAAGGAAACTGTCAGCCTGGCTTTGTCTGGTATTATCTCTCTGACACATTTAAGGAAAAAAAAAAAAACTATTAGAGACTGCAGCTGTAAAAAAAACACCTGCTCTATCAACCTGTTCAAGTGACCCGTTTAAAGTCACATGCTTTAAATATCCAGGGGTAAATAAATATCCTGATGACTGACATCCAGAGTTATATAAGTTAGACACAAATATAATTGTAGTTCTGAAACTTTAAGCATTAAGCATTTTAGAGCATAAAACTAACAAAATACAAAGTGCAATGAAAACCAGATTAGATTTTAGCCTGAAAAACATGAACATTGCAATCATAGTAGAAATTCTGCACCGCTTATGATGCAGCTTTAATATGAGCACAATGTTTTAATTGTACAAAAAACTAGATTAGAAGAGAAAGAGTGGGAAAAAATGACAAGGTTCCCATAGATTGGTTAACATCAAATTCAAGTATTTTTCAGGAAAACCTGATTAAAAGCATAAGCTATTACTGGGAGTTTTAAATTAGCTAACATATCTCGCAAATAATATATGTGACCCTCTTCAACTAAGAAGCAAACCAAAAAATGTTGTTTGGAAGCGTTTTCCTATGAAGAAGACTGACAAATTCTCACTATGCTACATGAACACCGACTGGTTGGATTTTATTCAGGGGTTTTAAAATACAGGAGACCTAATTACGGAAGAGGATTAAAAAATATAAAAAGTTAACTGATTGTTAAATATTATTTCAGTTTAATGTAGGAAACAAGTCAGAATTTTGGATCTCAATGTAGAAGGGCACCATGGAGGAGGGGATGTTGGAGCGCAGCTTCACTGACAAAGATGTAAATTGTTTGGGAGGGCCAGTAACACATTGGTGGAAAATGATGGAATAAGGGGACTATTTACGTGCCTGAGGGGCCCCCG